TCGTAGATTACTTTATAGCCTCGTACAATTTCGATGAGGTCGTTCATATGCAATTGAACGCCTCTGTTACGTCAAAGAAAACTATACAGAAGAATTTTCTTTTCTTGGAATCCTTTGTATTGATTTCACAACTCTGAAGGCAAGAAGTGTGGAACGTTGTAACTAATTCTTGTGAATTGAAACATAGAGTTGTTCAAGATTTCTGGCCTAGATAACATTTTCATTTCAGATAGCTGGTACTCTTATCGGCTCTTTAATTAGATATTTGGTTTTTCTTCTAAGTTGTGTGCAATTATTTGTATACTTTTTCTTTTGTGGTGTTCTCCGTTTTCTTCATTACTTGATGTTTTTGCTGATATTTTTGAGCCCATTTAGATTGCGTGCAAGTATTTCAAGTGTACGTAGGGTGCGTCAATCGAGGTTCAAACAATACAAAAGGTTTGCGACAAGGATGTTGCCTGTCACTAGTATTATTTATTATATACATGTATATCGACGTGGTCTTAAAGAGGTGGAAACGTACTTTCTAAAAGCATGGAGATCCCCGTTAATGACAACAGAGTACAAAAAGTGGTGATTGCAAGTAAGTTTCGAAAAGACGGAATATATGGTTGTAATCTTTGAAGTTACATTCAGAAACTGTTATACAAAGTATAGAGAAAAGGGGCTTAAAATGGTTTGGGCACCTATTCACAATCCTACTTTGCAATTGTTGATTCATATTGTAATGTTAAATTATTTGCTCTTCATCTAGTAGTTAACCACTAAAGATCGCGTGAAATTCATTCTTGCAACTAAAACAAAAATTTGATTAGAATGCAAACCAGGTTTCTACGTAAAGCCGTAATATTTTTTGTAATTAGGTTTGCATATATGGAGATTTTCTTGGTAATAAAATTAGTATTAAACCGTCTTGTTTAGAAATCTTGTTTAAAATGTCAGTTACATCTAGAAGTTGCAACATAAACACTCTAAAAAGAATAAATATAAATAAAGCTTTATCGTTCAGATTAATCTTTAGCATCATTAACTCTATAAAATGAGATTATTAAACGATATACCAAGCTATTTATAAAGTAATGTAAGGACGCAATAATTGTACATCGATATTCATTTGAATAATGAGATACGCGAAGCTAAACGGTCTCGTTAACAGCAAACTGCAATCGTAATAGTTAGCAATGCTATCTCTATACAGAAGCGGAAGTTTAATGAAAAGCTTTTATGCTCGACATTGATAAAATCTAAAAAGAGGAATTGAAATGTTATCGTTTGTGAATAACAAATAAAATACTTTTCATTTGAATAATAGAAAAGACGTAAATCGACTAAATAGAGTAAGTCATTGCTCCTTCGCTTTTGTATGAATTCATTCAAGTTGGGGATCCAAGTTTCAGCTTTGCCGCATCCCGCGATCACAATTTCAATTTCTGTTCACGTACAATGGAGTTCGCAACTTTTATTTCTATATCTACCCTAGTTGAAAACGTCTTCGATTAGACGAGCTTCTCCAGCTAACTAGGAGTTGAGGAAAATATCGCAAACAAGTTAAAAAACTAATTTCACGGTTACCGCGCTTGCAATTTTTCACGTTTACCGTCATCTGTTCATTCAACTTCTCCACCTTTAGGGTAAACTACGTTCCGTACGTAATTAGATGGAAGATGGAAGTAAAAACACCACAGAAACACTTTATTGTTGTTTCGTATACTTTAATTATGTATGCTTTTTTAGCAAAATTAAAAAAGTAAAATCGAAATTTAATATTTATAGGTTCTACTACTAACATAATAGGGAACTAAATCAACAAAGCAACCAGTTGAAAGCCACAAAACACGTGAGACAGGCCGCAACGATCTCACGGGTCATGTCCTATAGTTTCAGTGGTCCTAAACGTGGCCTAAAGATAAACGTCGTAAACTTTGATTTACTAAACAGTGTAAACACATTTGGGTGACTCCAATGTATAAAAGGTGCAGTTAACGTCTCCCTTCAAATTGTTTATCTTTAAGAACTAAAACGTCCCGCGGTGGTTATTTTTTATATACCCCCTTTTTTTGTTTTTATTAAGTAAATAAAATCGATTGTTAATAAAGTTTTAAGTTTAAGTTTTAGTTGTTAACATAGGATCAATATATTATTGATCATAAACATCCTATGTTTATTTTTATATGTTTTTATTGATATATCTAAACCAAGTTTATAAAGTAAAACTTGATTTAAACATAAAATCAACGTTTTTAGGACTTAAAACACATAGTAAAAATTAATGCAGAGGTTATACGTTGAGCTGGTCAACCAGATCGCCCCATTGAACCTCGCCCGATATCCTTCTGCGAAATTACCTAAAAATGAATGCTTACACAACAATTACAACAGTTCATACAAATTTATCATGTTTAGATCGCTTCCAGTGCTATAAGTTTTATCCGAAACTTTTTTTGATTGGAAGCTTAATTTCTAACCCTAACCCTATGCGGGTCCTGGCCTCCTGCAGTTGTCCATTGCTCCATTCATGCTTATTCCGTTCTTTTGTTCTCCAGCTTCTAACTCCAACCTTCAGCATGTCTTCTGTTATCTTGTCTGCCTACTTGAGTTTAGCCTTTCCTTATTTCAGCCTTCTGCATAGCACAGTACAGTAATTATGTGTTTGGTCGTTCGTATTTGATGCACAGGATTGGTTGAAGCTGAAGGAGGGATAATGGGAAAGGAGATGCATGGGGAGTCAGTGGACTCCACTATCCACCTGATGCGAGGTAAGTAATGAAGAGGAAGGACTTCAGGGAAAAGATGTTGTGGAAGTGTGCACGGATGAATTAAAAGGAAGAGAAAAAGTCTTCACTGGAATGCTGGCAATCGCGGGTAAGAGTGTGGTAAGAGAGTAATCCAGACAGAGGACATAGCTACGAAGACACAAGTAGAGCTGCAAGCTATGAGGTTTGGAATGGAATGAGTTGGGTGGAAAGGGAAGGGATGAATATATGGAGTTATAAAGGAACATTGAATGAGTACTGTGGCCACGTCTGGAAAGAATATACAACTTCTGTAGCGTGATGGCTTTAATGCTTTGTGTATGTCGTTCTTACGAAGGCTACCAGTAACTCTTGGGATGTTGAGGGCGTCATCTAGTTTGACTCATATGATGATATCTTAAGCAAACTTGAAGTCGACGAAGATATGTAATGTGTCTATGTTGTGCTTTAGCTCTTCTCCATGACCTGATGTATAACAATTATTTGGTCCGTCGTTGATCTACCGAGTAACAATCCACTTTGGTAATCTCCTAGAAGATCACGACACAAGTTTCCCATCTTTATCCCTGCACAACGTCGTTCTGGGCACAAATGGTTAGAAGATTACCGATATCAGAAGTAAAGGCAAGTTATGCAATCGGACGCGTATAACCCCCCTCCGCACAGTAACTTTAAATATTCTTACACAATTAACATAAGATAGAATTTCGGTCCCAACGAGACAAAGCTAAGGACCAGGAATATCATAAGAGGCACATAATAGCCGGTGAGTGTGGTAAGTAATTAAAGAGAATAGTTTTATTTCTCTTTTCCACTTCTCCTATTTTTCTATTTCTCTCTATTGCAAACAATTCATCGACAAATCTATTTAATGCCTCATAAATACTCTGACTGTACAGAACTCTGTTTAGCTATATCTGTTCGAATTTGCTCTCCGTCACTTCGTTAAAGAAGTATACTTCTGTGGTGACCTGCAGTATAGCTGCCAACATCTCCATCGTTATTGTTGAAGGTGTTTTCCAAATGGCAAGGTGGCTAACAATATTGTTCGCGGGATCGTTCAAAATACTCTACGGAAACAGACGTTGGTAAGTCCTTCCCCCCATACAAAACTATAGCTAAAAATAAACCTCTATAGATGGTAATTACTGCTTTTCAAATTGAGACCCCATTGCGAATGTATCAACGCAACTGTTTCAAAAATCCCAAACACATTGTTCTTAATGAAATCAAGGTATGACATTAAATAAATTACCACTGCAACAGAGCATCATGGCAAAAAGTGAAACGCAAGGCATTTTGACTAAAGATCGTTAAAAGTCGTGCCCACAAACGGTTTCATACTTATTTTTCTACGACGTCTTAGGCACAGTTTATGTATACAAATCCCTTATCAAATCAGTCACTGATTTATGAACATGAGGATACATCAGATACTTGATCATTACACACAGATCGTCAATATTCAAAACGTCTCTTTTCGTCACATTTCTCAATTTTTTAAGCTACCATTTCTAGCAGTGTCTCAAAATGTTTGGAGTCATTTGCAAATACAATCTGTGCTCTTGTATATTTTCTAATGCAAGTTACCTTGAGAAAACCGAAGAAGCCTATTTTTTTTTGTTATCCAGTCTTTGCACAAATGCTTTTCGTACAGCTTTTCTTAAGGTTAAGCGATAATAGCTCGGGTTCATTTTCGACATTTCAAGTCTTTCACTAAAACAGTTTGCAAGCAACTTGTGTTTCAGCAACTTGCAAGTTATTACCTGTAATTAATTAAAACTTACGAGAAGTTTTGCAAAACATTTACTTTTTGCAGTTAACTTCCACGTTAAAAATTTTTTTGTTATTGACTCAAGTTTCAGTTGAGGCAGACAATTAAAATCAACTTCGAAGTCAACAACCACAACTATCTTTCTTATATCTTTCTATTATCGTTTTGAATTTCTTTGTGTTTAAAAGACGAAGATATGAAGGTGGATTTGCTTTGTCAGAAACATCATATTTGAGAATTTATTAAATATAATCTTTTGTAAATAACCAAATGGAATGATTTTTGGATTGTAAGGATTCTTTGCGATAACTAGTATCATCTTAATTTTTGAAAAGATTCAACGAGATCAGCACCAGATTACAGCGCATCGCTCTTCTTACCGTAATAACACGGCGCATTCTAGTAGAAGAGCTGGCTACGCTGGCGCTAGCAGGTCGCGAAGGTAGCCAGGCTCTAGGTCCGTGATAGGAAGGATCTCAGTGTCGTCATGGACGCCAACGCGTGCGTATCGACGTGTTCGCGTCAGTCCGCACTCGCGCCTCTTGTGACCTGTTCGCAAAGAAGTGTACGGTTCTTCAGTGAAAAGATCAATTAAACGAAATTTGTTGTTTTACGAGGAATTTATACGGAAAGAAGGACGAACGTCATCGCTAATTGGACGTTGTTAACCATCGGAGCTAACACTTAGGAGTCTCAAGACTAATGTTATAAAACATGTACTTAAAGAAATCCTAAAATAAAGTTTCAGTGATATTTAGTGACACATTAATAAATAACATTAAATCAATAATCTGTACATAATAATTCGTATTAGTGGCTGGCTCAAGTTATGATCTCAAGTTATTAAGATATTTAAAAGAAATAGTTAAAAATATATCCCCTCAGTGTTACAAATCTATTATTAGTGCTACTTATTAATAATATCATTGAATTTGTGTGTTGATTAGTAACGAAAATAACAGAACATGTTTATTATTAAATTTAAAATGTTTTATTAAATAGTGATATTGTTGATGTTGTGGTTAGATGAGTGACATAATGGAAAAAGTATGTTATAAAAAGTGTTTTCGGTGTGTTTCGCAATGAGGGCCATACGAAACTATTGGCTGGAAACAGCCACTATCTTGCTGGTTATCATTAAATTTACGGCTGCTTACAACGGTATCGAGGAGTCTTCAGGAGCTAATGAACTGGATAGACCAAGTGAGTCAAACTATACTTACTTAGCTGGTTAAATTTTATACCATACCTTTTGTTATTTAAATTGCACTCCAAAACTTTACATTCTTATTGGACAGCGCAATTGATGCGTTCCCATAATGCGCACGCCAAATTTAAACGCGAATAATATTTTAAATGAAAACCGCATCGTTTATTAACTAAATGATGGGAATAAACTATGGATGGAACTTGAAAATTTGTTTAATCCACCAAATATGTATTGTTAATGAATCAAAAGAAGTTTTATATCTATTTGTATCGACATAAATTTGGTATAAACAAAATTAACAAAAATAATAGAGAAATTCCAATGTTAAATCGTGTTATTTTGTAGTAATTCGTTTATATAATTTAAATTTGTGCGCAATAAATCTTTTATCAGAACGTAGAATTTAATTAAAACTGGTATGTGTTGATTTTTATTATCAGGAAATTAACAATTTCAATGCAAATAATGTTATTTTGTTTCTATTTTAAAATTTATTATATATTTAGCTTATGACACAAAATAATAACAAAAAAGAATTAGATTTGAACTTTAACACTTCAAAACTTTAAATCAACTGTAAATTTACTCAAAACCAATATCTTACAATAATAGCGATCTGGTTTAATGTTTCAAAAGCTTTTGCTACGAATCAATACAAAAATTGAGTGGGATGATCATAATAAAGTAATCTCACTTAAATTAATATGTTATAGCGTTACTACGATTCACGTAAATATGTAAGGTCAATGAATTAACGCTAAAAGATATTCAAGGTAAGCTACTTTTTGGTTGTGTTTCTATTTTGGTGAATAAATTCACCAAAAATCAAAGCGAAATCCAAAAGTTACGTAACTAAAAAGGATTAAACAATGATTTTGAAAGATTTATGTTGCCCAACACTAATTTGCAATCATATAGCGATTTCGTCGATCTACGATATCTTCCCTCGATTATCTTGACGTGCTGAGAGAAGTATTGCAATTTTGGGTCTTATGCCCATTAAATTTAACAACCCAGAATATCTCTCTTCTAGATCGATTTTTCTTTAAATCTTACCATACGAGATTCAGGTGATTGCTTTGATAAATTATATCGGGTAACTCACCCGGAGAAAACCTCCAAAGAGTCAATTTCAAGCTTTAAATATTGGAAATATCGGATCATCACTATTAGCAATGATGATAATGTGGCTAAACCGAGTTGCTCATTCCATCAATATTTCAAACTAAAGTTTCTTTGCGTCCACCTGAACTCCAATATTGAAGTGACATCACACGAGATATACAAACTTTGAAATGCATAACAAATTTAATATGTTAAAGTACTAGTGTTATCTTCTACGTCTATCGCATATCGAAGTGCATATATTATGTCGTTGAGATTTATTGCTGGACTTTAACAACTCCTAAGAGTAAATGATTTCATACTATTAATATTTACTCTCAATGTTATCAGCCACGCCTGAAGCAAGTCCAAATGGTACTGAAGATCGATCTGAAAATCGTATCTGAATAACGAATGGATATATCATCATGAAATAATAAGTAATTTAAAGCAAATTTATTTAGTATTTAATATTTTTCTCGAATCTTGACATTGCAGATTTAATTTTTGTACGCAACCTAACACAACCATAAACATAAATGTTAGGGTATTTAATCTTTACGTATCTCAAGAACCATAAATAATTTCTTACTTTCCATCGTTGTTATGATTTTGTAAATTCAACTGTGCATGTTTGATTGTTTTAGGTTTGAAATATAGAACTTTAAAAAATCGTACCTGAAGAATGAATGGAGATATCGTCATGAAATAAAAAACATTTCAAAGCGAATTTGATGAAAATTTAATGTGGCATAAATAATTTCTTATTTTTCATAAACATCGTTGTTATGATTTTTTAAATCCAATTCTGCATGTTTGTTATAGATAGAAAATGTAAATTTTAAAATATTGTATCTCAACAAAGAATTCAGATATCATCATGAAATAAAAAACATTTTAAAGCAAATTTATTCAGAATTCAACATTTTCAAGGTCATTTATTCAAAATTCCAAATTTCACTATTTTTTCACTATGCTTTTATCGCATATATTTGATGATAGTTTTAGGTTGTGGTATGTTAATCGAAAAGCATACCTGTTATTATTGAATCATTATGGGTTTGTACAATTATTATGTTTATTTACCTTTCAAACGTTGCGAAAGAAATTTTGATTATAACCGCCGAAATAGGTACATAGATATAAAAAATGTTGTACAATCTGTTTCACTGCCTATGACAAAAAACAGTTCGGAATTTCTGGTACAACATTTCCGTAATATTACGCAGTGGATATGAATGATTCGGATTGTTTCGGATTACTGAACAATCGTAAATCGATTTCCTAGTATCCATTTCTAATTTGATGTAGAATCTGTGTATTCCGGAATAGTAATAATAATAGTGATTGAACCCAACGTTATTGAAAAGATCTAAATTATCTGCCTAATAAAAAACTAAAATATAATATAATTAACTTTTTTTTCTTAAAAGTACTTCATTGTAACACTTTAGATTTCGTAGGAATTCTGCGCACAAATTTGTCCGTTATGGTATCGTCTAAACTAAAAAATGTATTAAAAACCGTTTCTTTCCTTGAAAAGCTTAAAATTCATATTAGAAATAGTGATAAATTCGATATGACTATTTGATATGATTTCTTGAAAATGAGTTATCCCGATTACTCAAGGTATAATTAAATTTTTTCGTGATTGTATCGTCGGCTTAACTTACTACATGACAATGGAAACATAGTAGAAGGTCATTTATAAAAATAACGTTCTTTGTTGTTTTTGCACAATATTAAGAACTTCAAGATAAAAGCCGCTATAAAATAAACAGTGGGTGTTTACGTGACTTAATGCGGTTACGGCAAAGTATTGTAGTTTTTAATAATAATTTATGGCAATTTTGGTTAAATTAATTCAAGAAGAAATTTGCAAACTGTGTGTTACTATCAACTCATCTTTCTTCGAACACAGCATCAGGTAATCAAATAAATTCAAACAGTACAGAATTGGTTGAAGACATTTTCTTCGGGAGTTCTCAACTTAACCGATATTAAGATCATTAACAACGATGATATTGAACAGGTTGTGGAGACAAATTCCAGGACGACGTATTTAAAGCTAGAAGAGAAGTTCGATGTTAGTGAAGTTAGTGATGTTAGTTCTTCAACTTTAATTCTCTATTATGAGAAAGGGATTTTAGTTTCAACGTAATACTCAATTCAAAACCACACGTTTCCTCTTACCTTTCATAACTGTTCTTATGCGAAGCTATAAATAACCCACAAAACAGATTAATGTGTTGAGTAGTAAATATGTTTCATTCACACTGCTACAATTCACATTTTAATAAATAGGTATAAAATATATTTAAAATGTATTAAAAATATCAAAAAAATTGTACATTTCATTTTACCATTAATTAATTACTAATGTTGATTTATTTAAATGTTAATGGAAATTTGTAATAAACAGGATTGACCGGGTTCAAATTAAAATTCACAATTTCAACTTCCATAGAAACTATACGAAACTATTTGTTTCGTATGCATCAATTTTTTTGATGGAAAATTTTGAACTGTTGGGAAACTAAATAACACGAATCTATTGATTTTCATGTTTGCATTAGTTTGCGAGTTGGGTAATTATCGGACTACAATTTATTGGACTTTTCATAACTAAATAGACCTTCACGTAGCTCTATAATATTTATTGCAGAATAAATTTATGCGCGGAAATTACTACAATAAAACAATTTCTCTCTAAATATGAATAATAAAATAAATTATATTATTAAATTCTTGCGAATAATAATGTTATATTTGTTATTAAAGTTACTTACACACTTCGTTTCTTAATTAACAACAAATAATCTATTCGATTCTCTATCAGTTCTGCAAATAGTATAATCGGGAATTTTGAACTCTTCTTTTTTCATTAGGTTAGTTTTAGTAGTACACGGGCTATGTTGTAGCGACGTAGAAAAGAGCATGATCATTCAAATACCTAACAAATTAATTATCGTCTTAATCCTCTATTATTTTGGAATATACCGGAAGACCATCGCGCTTTTTGCGTACACGCCTGTTACCGCCATGGTGATTCATTAGTGACAGCTCAACGTTCAATCGTGCAGAATTTAACGTATGGAATGCACCGAAGGTCGATTCTATAAGAAAATAGATTAGAATGTTTGAAAATATCGGTCCGACTATGAAACTATACTATGAAAATTGGACAGAACTGGGCCTTTTTTAAGATCGACGAAGCTGAGCACTTACGGTAAACAGTATTGCGGTATTAACGGTATTGTAACATACTAAGAAACTTTTTGGTTCCACAACTTTGCAGGTATTTGAAGTTTTCAGATGCCCTAATCCTACACCCCATAATTATTTGTTATAGGGATATCGTGAAAGTATATGTAGGTAAATTTACGAACTCTACTGCCATTGAAGCACAATATCCGCACTAAAATGACCGCCGTTACCAGAGAAATGTGTAGGCGAGTGATGGCTAATTTATGCGTTCGGTTAGAGAAATACCAGCTGTGGGTCAATATTTGGACAACCTAATCGTTGACACTTAATTTTCTAAAACGATGTCTGAAGATCAAAAATGAACATTTTTCTGACTTGTTGTGGACCCTTGTAGTTATGGATAATGGTACACGAGTTCTACAGAACCCGTGGAAAGCTTACATACACTCCTATGGTACATGTGGTATCTTGAACAGAATATATTAAAATTATAATAATAAACTTTGATTGATTGATGAATTATATTAATAATAATAATATTATTTTTTATTGCAACACGCTCTTTTGTTTGTATATCGTGTGCACAACACGTTACAGCCACTTCCCCTTCTATGTTTAATAAAAAGAGGAACATAGTGGTCAAAAAAATTTATATTTAAAAATAGAAACAAACTTTTTTGTG